CCCCAAAACCCCAAAACCCCAAAACCCCAAAACCCCAAAACCCCAAAACCCCTTCCTAACCTAATTTTGATAATTTTAATAAATATATTACTAATTTTAGTCAGAGTCTAAATAACACCAATGGACATATTAGATATTACAAAACACGAGATTAGCGAAAGCTTAAGATCGTTTAGCGCATTATTAACAAACGAGAATCATAATTACAGTAACTTTGCAACTTTACAGTGCCCTTCCTCCTTTCTGAAGGAGGAGATCAGCCAAGACTCTGACTCATCAAGCTCACCTAATAGACAGAAATAAAGCTGTAAGGTTCACAGGTGAGCGAGACGAAGCTGGAACCCCACAGTTCAAAAGTCTACAAATCCTTAGGCAGCTTGATGATACTATCCAAAACTTAGTCTAGGTATGAAAAGAGCTCTTACAAAGGTGCCAAAGGGGCGTCCTGCTAGACCGATACTAAAGAAGAAGCATGGCTTAATCTCCATAAAGCCTTACGAAGATAAACGCTTGAGGTCTGGTAAGTCACCTTTGAGATACCTCTGCAGCTTCTCTGCTGGGTTAGAGCATTGTTAATTACAGATATTATAGCGCTGAAAAAAATTTCAGTCAAAAATCAGCCAAACCTAGTCAAGCCATACTGTTTTAAGAAGTTCTCGATGGACCTAGACGACCCAATTGTACCTTTATTCTGGTCAACAAAGCCTTTGTGGTATGACCAAGGGTATTCAGGAGATTTTGAAGAGAATTATGAGGAGGATTCTGATACAAAGCCTCAGATTCTGGCCTTCAAGCCAGCTAGTGTAGATTCAAGCACTGATGACTTCCTCGTAACTTTAAAGAAGAAGCTAGTGGCCGAAATCCGTAAGTAAGAGTCTTCATTTACCTCATGAGCGGCTTGATAACAAGCTTGTCTCGATTTTCCGAATATGTAAGAAGATTCCATACTTTTGAAATCCCAATTTTACTAGCCAAAATATTAAATCTATCACACAACATTATCTCCAAAGCTACAAGCTGTTCTTGGATATCTGTAAACGCTTAAAAGTCATGAACCCTGCAAGCTTAGACAAGGTCTATGAGAAACTCCCAACCAGTTCCAAGCCTGGAGCCCATTCAGATATTCCTGGGTTTATGGAATACTGAAATCTGTACTTCTCAAAGCAAGTTGTGACCAAGATATTTGAAGAGAGAAGGACAAAAGTTAAGGAAATTTGCAAACTTAGAAATGTCACCAGTGCCAAATAGCCTCTTTGCACTTGCAAAGTCTCACAAATCTAGCTTCCTGAATCTGTTCATGGCTTGCATTGTAATTCTCAATATTTTGTGAAGAGAAGAGATTAATGAGAGATACCAGAAGCTCATCGACAAAATTCTAGTTAAATACCGTACCTTGGTCCCCCAATATGAACGGCCTGATGATCTTGAGGTCACTTGGCAATCAGATGAATAGGGTAAATAAGAGTATGATTTAATCTGCCAACATGAGGTTCTAATCTGAGTTAAAACTTTAAGGTCAAGATTTCAATACAATTGAGGTATATTGGGGTTTTGGGGTTTTGGGGTTTTGGGGTTTTGGGGTTTTGGGGTTTTGGGG